AGTGGCGTCGGGGAGTGCAGCGTGCGATGACGGAATGTTGGGTGGGTGCTGCAGTGGTGCGAGTGGCCGAGGAAATGTGGTGTTAGGGGAAACGGATAGAGCCGGATGTGTGGGGGTCCTCTGGCGGTAGGTTGGAGGCGTGTGGCGGAGAAAGACGAGAGTATTGGAGGTGGGTGGGACGCGGATGTCGGGATAACGCGGCAGGGGTCGGTAACCTTATTCCCCGCTGAGGCCGGAGGCTGCAGCTATGAACAGCTCACGATCCGCTTTCAACTCATCTTTATCGATCCTCTTTTGTTTAGCTTCTTTTGAAATCTAACCGTTTTGTATCGTTGAGTTTTAAATAGATTCGATAAGGGAAGGCAAGAACATCAGAGGCTTGATACGAAAATTTAAAATTCGTTGTGTTCATTTTTGAAATTTCCTTACATTATCTGCCGAGTTGCTTGTAGCAGAGGAGCCGAAATAGAGGCCGTTTCATAAAATTTTTCCAAAGAATAATAATGCTATACACTTGTGTTTTTAACATGTTCTAGAGATAATTATTGCGAATTTTGTATCGCTGAATTCAATCGACATTTCGATGCCAACCTATTTAAATCGTATTCAAAACACCTGAATGTTTTCTTTACCACAATTCTTATTTGCATAATAATAGAATGTATGTATAATAATGCAGACATAAAATAATTGTGAGGATTTTGAGATAAATACGCTTATTGAATGCTTAGATAAATACGCTGTATTGAATATTCTTGAATCACATTATCTTTCACTTGCTTGCAATTCACTTGCTTATCGCATGTGCATCACATTAAGAGCATCCTTAAATTATAATATTAAATATAAATAACAGTAAATACAATAACAGTAAATGCGAGTAACTATAGTTAAATGCAGATAATTATTTATAATTTTAAATATTGGAAACAATTAGTTATCTGCGTGCATTTTTTGGGAAGTGCAAGACTTGGAAATATAAATGATTTCCTAATTTATTGAAGAGGTCGAAACATTTCAACATTGCAATCCAGCGCCATTATATAATAAGCGAAGAATGTGTGTATTTAAAATATTGAATATAATAATTAAGATTCTCATGTAGTAATCATTTTTACAAGGTAAAATATTCATATTACAAAACGTCCGTGTGATGACATCATTCAAATATAAACTATTCAATATTCTACGGTCACGACAACCAATGTTACATTTTTCAAAGCTCAATGTCTCTAAAATCATGGCAGAGTGCCATGTGGTGTTATTTGTTTTATGAATGTCAGTTTGATACTTGTCAACTCCAAAACACTTGCAGCCTCAGTGAGTTCGATAGATGTTTTTATCTGGAGGATTTTTCATACAGTTGAGGATAAGTAATGTGTTGGGCATGATTAATAACAGTTTTTGTATAAGAAAATATATCACTACAATAGTGAGCATCCATTAGGTCTCAAATTGACCTTCGGTCATGTAATAGATGTCTCCTTTCTAGGAGCATATCGATCGAAACACCATCAATTTTGCTCTAATGGCGTTTGTTTGGACATTCCATTACGTCGGCTGCAACACAAACTCATGACTTTCCCTTCAGTTAGAGACCATCACTTTGCCAAACTGCACCAATTGGCGCCCAAGAAAGTGACGTCCCATAGAGGACAATGCAACTTGACACTTTTCAGTCTGTCGAGTAATACCAGGTTAAGAAAAGATTTCGTAGATTTTAATAGCGTTATTTTATTTCCCTTTTTAATAAACTATTTTCCAATAAACTTAAATAAAATAATCTTGGATTCCTTTGATTAATGACAACCAAATCATTAAAACTATTAATTAAAAACATTTAATTATATTTTTCTCCACACTTCATTTAATATTGTATTTCGGATTTCAAACTTCGCAACTTAAATAGAACTGTGATACATGGTAAATATTAAAATTATTACAAGAATTAGTGTTAACATTGACTTGCACAATATTATAAGAAAATAGAGGCTCACCTTGTGTCATAATGAAATTGTAAATAAATAAAAAATATCTTGCTGCAATCTAATTAATTGTTTTGGTTATTCCGCCAGACTCTCTTTTAAACATCTGTACCATGTTTTATTTATTAACTAGTGTTCCAACATTCAGAATATCACGTTCAAGTTCATTATTACAGATCCAAAGAGCATTTACACTGCGTCATGCCTGTTTGACAAATGAATATTATCAATAGAAGTAAAATCATTAAGAAAATGGGAGGAGGGACGGAAAGGAATGGTGAGGCAAGGGAAGGGAAAACCTTTAGAAAGTAATGTCTTTCATCATTTTCACTTCGAAGAATAAATTACAATTGAAGTTAGTAAATGTAGTGGTTTTAGATACTGCTTTCATTGTTTCATTGATTTCAATGTCCATTGATTCAGAAACGATCCTTGAACATATTTTAGGTTAAATGTCCTGAAGGTAAATATTATCAAAGTATATTTTATGTTCTACTTAGACCCTATATTTAGATTAGACTTTCATTTGATACGGAGATCTAAGCTGTTATTAATATATTCCCTTATCTTCAACTTCCTTATAGTCTGAACTTCATAGCTCATGTTACGATCTATAGAGTTTATTGGGTGTGTATAATTTTCAGGGTCTCGCATCTGTGTTTTTGTCTTTCATATTTTTCACAATTTTTGATAAATTATGTATTTTATTTAAAATTATAATATAATTTTGGCATTGTTTATTCAATTTCTTTATCATTGGGTTAAACGAAATTGCCATAACATTTCTATAATAACAGTTGATTTATGTTATAGTTAATTAATAAGAGTTAATTAATTTATTTAATCATACATATCTCAAGTTAGGTAATAAAATTAATTTTATTTCTATATTTATCTAAATCTATCTGCACTCTAACAGCCCCCTCCCCGCTTTGTCACAATTTTGACATCTCTTAACGTTTTTCCGGGTGCACGTGCCTGGAAATGGGATGCGCCCAGACAATGCGAAGTTGGGCAATGTATTAGCATTTATGGCTATGAGATGATCGCACATTCTATCTCTAATGTAAACCGTTTTATTAATAGAAAGTAGCATTCATGACCCCATTCCTTTTCTAAAGAAAACGAGATAATAAATTACATAAGAAGGGGATTCTGAATGAATGTATGAAAATTCGTGTCAGCACCAAGATCAATATGAAATCACACCATGAAATATGCCGAAGGAAGTAATGAGAATATGGACAGTTAAGTGCTTGGTGACGTCGTTAACCGTATGTTTTCAACCCCTGATGAGAGGGAAAGTCGCGACGGAACAAGCCGTCGGAGAAGGGAGAGGGTGGCGGTGAACCGGCGGAGTCCGAGTCCCTCTTGTCCGCCGCCGCGTCGACCAAAGCTTCATCTGGGCACCTTCCAGCAGCACACCTCTTCCGCAGGTGAGAGGCATAAAAAGCGCTAGCTCGCGGGGGGCTTGTGCGAGCAAGGCTGGCGTTCTCGCCTCACGCTGCCTGCTCCGCATCGCGTGTGCCCGCTTTGATCTCCACGCCACCACGCGTCCTACTAACACCCCAATATCGCCCGTTCATTCCCGCCATCACTCCTCGTCTTTCCCTAGAGGCTCACATTTACCAGCTCGTTCTTCCCGCGTTTTTTCCTCGCTCTTTTCCCCGTTCTTCCCTGCCCATTCTGTCCCGGCTTGCAGCAATCATCCATCTAAGCCGCCGCTATTCCACGTCTGCCTCAGCTGTCTTCCGCGCAGCACCGCGCTTCGTCGCGCGCGCCCGACTGATGAAGTAATGCTCTGTGAGACACGTCGCCCGCCGCGGTTTCTGGCGCTTCGCGCGGCCGCGCGAAGAGCAGCAAAATGAGCTTCTTTCTCCGCTCTTTCTTCGTTCTTTCCAACCGGTCTTACTTTTTTTTTTCGGTCGCGTCCGCTTTGTCACGGCACCCTACCCGCCACACTCCTCGGTCCCTTTCCAACTCCCTCCCTCCGCTCCCAGTACTTGTCTCCGCGTTGCACCACCACACATACTCATCATCCGCCAACGAGCTCGCTCGCTCAACGGTCGCGTTGACGTCAAACGTCACTCCATGGAAACTGATCTCTGTTTCTGTGTCGGGCTGCTTTTTGTCATTGCAGTGCGTGTTACCTTGTCTCGTTTTTTGTTGGTTCGTCGACTCGAAATTTTAATTTCGTTATTGTCGCGGTGGCGCTTTGCTTCTCCCGGCGGTGTGGATGGGTGGGGTGGGGTGGGGGTGGTCCGCAGGTGACGCGGGTTGAGAACGGGACTTTGCACGCGACACGGATGAAAAGGTGTTCGTTAGGAGTGGTGAATGACCGGTAGTAGAGTCATAGGAGGTCACGGGAAACAGGAAGGATACATTCGATAGTTGGGCGGAATATGTTATCATTCATATCAACCAATGCAAAAGTATTATCATATCACAAATATGATTTATACAAAATTGATCCGCAGTACCTCATTTGCTCAGTTGTTGTTTCAGACAATTCCCCAGCGAGAATGAGCATACTAGAGACCGGCTGTTGCTCAATTTTCCGTAGTTTCCAATTTCCAGTGACAGTTTCCGTGTTTTACAGTTATCAGGTGGAGCAGTTCTTCAACAATGGGCCGCGGGCCGCACGTGATGCTTTTATCAGTATTTTGTCTCCAATCCCATTCGCGAAGCTGAATGATGTGCTAAACCTTAATCTCCAAAGTGCCGAACTCCCATGATCTGGAAAGACATCGACAATACTGTTAGCATGTGAGTGTCAGACTAAGACTTGAATAGGGATATATGAAAGGGTCTCTCTTAGGGTCATATGAAGAAAAAGATGAATGTCTAAATGCAACGAATCGGAATTGAATACTCGAGATTTGTAATTAGTAATTACGTTGGAAGAAGGAATCATTATCTTCTTCCAACATGCCATGGTGTCCAGGCCCTGCCTATTGTTTCAATTGTTCTTAATGTTACATGGGATCTTACACAGTCCTTCACATCAGTACGACAGGGACGCGATTATGCCCACATCACTTCCATTTAGAACTAAACAATTGCTAAGCCTTCCCTCCATGGGCCCCGTGAGTATCCTTCAGCACCTGTTGCGAGACAGTAAACTTTTCCACTTTATTAATCACACTGCCTGTGATACGTAGCCACGCCTCTTTCTAAACACTGGAGATGGCTGCAACGTCGCTGAAAAATAAAATTGTTTAAAAAATAATATCTGCAGAAAACGCCTTCTTACAAGATAAAATGATATATATGGTTCGATGTCTAAACTGCGGCACAATCAATATGCAAATAGACTAAAATGTACCACAGGTCAAAAATTGATCACATTAAACATATGTAAAATGAATAAAATGACGGTGGATTTTGTACGTAATAGAACGGTAAATAAACTTAAAATAAATTTATTTTAAAGGGAGAGTAAGTAAGCACAAAATTGCCTGCTGTAATTTATTTTATGGTGTTTCGAAGAAGTTCTCATGCTGCTTTACAAGGAGTTACAGTAAAACTTGGGGTAAACGCTTTACGCACCGATAACAAAGTTAATAGTATGAGAAGTTGTGCCCTAAAATGTTTTATTTTTGTTCTTGTTTGAATTTTACATGTGTGGTTGTTAACGTACTGCTAAGAATAAATTACTGGGATGCATCCAGTTCCTACGGAGGATCTTCTTGTAGTAACGGTAAAAATACTCATGAAAACAACTCACGGTTACCTTTATTCATGCTGAAGATAAATCACGGCTTACTAACTGATAACTTTCTGTAGCTTACTATTCCATTCTACAGATGTTTAACAGGACTCGTGTACCACGAATGTACTAATATATTTTTATCTTAAATCTGTGTTATTATTATTATTATTATTATTATTATTATTATTATTATTATTATGTTCTAGGGATACTACCTGCGGATCGCCTTGCTTTTTTGGCGACGTTCCTTTTATTTCTACTCTCTATTGATGAAGGATTCACTTCCCACCTTAATGATTCCGTATCATATACTTCAACCAAGCACGTCTCTCTTGAATGCTGGGTATATTCTCCCAGTACATGATTCGAACTTTGTGCTTTATCTGCTGAAGTCCATGTCCTCGAGATCGGCCGGAGAGAAGTCAGTAAACATCTCCATGCACGTTGACACCAGGATTGATTATACTTCGTACTACAATTACAAAGAAAATCGTAACTATTTAGGAAATATTATGCGTCTTTACTAATTGAAGATTAAATGAATTTGTAAATTTTAATGAAAACAATTAAAACATAGGAAAAAGAAATGTGAATTGTAAACAAGCAACAAAAATGACAAAGAATTAATGAATTATGAAATAAAAAAATTTGAGCAAAAAATCTATATACAAAATATAAGTTTTGAAAGAAAAGTCTATTTACATATATACAAGTGCAAGCCGTGCTTTGTATTAAAGTTGAAGGAGGGGGAGCTAGCTTAGTTCACCTCTTAGACGTTCCGCAGGACGTTGACCCTAGCGGGAATCACTACCTGATGAAACCAGTGTCGAGTTTGCCCTGCCCAGATTTAGGCTGGAAGAGGTTTCCACCGTTGAGATTGCTTCTATGAAGCTTTGTATTATAAGTAATATACGATCCGTGAACTCAAAATAACCTGCCTGAAAACATTCATGAGCAAATTGTTGTGAGTGATCTTTCCTATAGCAAGCAGCAGGTTAGACGCTCCTACATAAGAAACATGTAATGTGTAACTTATCAGGCGTAAACAGTGATTTACATATATATTATGTTTATTATCACTATTGATTAGTGTACATGCCTGCAGAAAAGCATGGATTTCATGGAATCTTAATAAGTATTGTTTATCATCAATGCACTCTATAAATTGTTACATAAAATTTCAGTTGATCATGCTTCATCCCCAATGTAATGCAATGATTTATGGCAGGAATTCCCTCTTTGTCATTCCTTCTCTCTCTCTCGGTCCCTCTCACTTGCGCTAAAAACATTTTATTGCGCAAACAAAATTTTAAGCTTGATGTAAATTCGCATTGCTCGTACGCGAAAACAATAACATAACTCAAGGGATGTCACATTCAGGAAGGGAGTATGGAAGCATGATATTGTGAAAAACCGTAATTAAATTTTTGTACATGTGCTTTTTGTCATATTTGACAACTGCATTTGGCTGCTGTTACATACAGTACTTGAGATTCTTGGCTAAACTCTTATTGGGACATGGGAGCAACGAGCCTTTTCTTTGACTTATTTTTACGAAAGATAAAAATACATCCTAATAAGATTAAGAGAAAATTATCGTACCGCATTAGCTTATTAAAACCTTTTAAGAGCTGTCACAATATTTTTATGTCAATGAATGACATGTACATTTTGTTTTTTTACATTGGTAAAAAAATTGCGTTAGACGAACGGTAGTGGTTGTACCAATTACGAGATTTTGTCATTAGCGGATACGTCTTAAAAAATCAATTGGAGATCGGAAATACGATTTATATGGAGTAGAAGTGTAACACTAAGTTTCCTAACTCGCCTCTCTCAAAAGAGAGACCAGCCGGCTGCGACCTCGGTCACAGGGGTCGAGCAGTCTCCCGAGCGTTTGGCGCGGGCAACGGGGCGCCGACAGTCAGGCGTCCGCCCCACCTCCTCGCCGCTCCCGCCCGTCTCCCGCCATCTCGTCGCCGAACGGCGCGGGCCGGAGCGGAACCGGCAGGAACAGTAGCTCGGGCAGCGGTACGGTGGGGCGGCGGGGGGGAAACCGGGCGCGGCGGTCGACACGAGGCGGCGACATCATTAGTGGCCGGGGCGACGGCGAAGGAGAGGTGAGAGGTCTCGCGGGGGGGCGCGCCCTCGGGGCCCAGACCCGTCCTGCGTGCTCCGCGCTCGCCCTCGGCTGGCCGGCCAGGCATCGTTGCCCGCCCCCGCGCGCACTAGCGCTAATGACGCCCCAGCCGCGCGCACCTTGTCCCGCGGAAAGCACTCGGCATCGTCAGCGTTTCATTGCAAGGCGCGCCTCGCACAGGGCTAACGCTTTTATCGGGTGTAATTGGTTGTTTTCCCGGCGGTGACTTCGGGACGTTTTCGCGGTTTAATAAATAACGTCATTACTGAATTGCAAATGCGAAGTATATTGCACTTGCATGGAGTATGTATGATTTTTATCGACGCGAGAACGAACGAAATTATACTTGTATGAGAGTTTTTAAAATTATTGTGTTTTTTCTGTAGAGGGATGCTGTGGTTTTCCCGCATTTATGGCGGCGTGGCAGCGAAACTTAACTATTAAAAGCGCGTCCAAAGCCTAACTAACGCGTGGAACTGTTGTCTGGCCGCCGGAAGCGAGTGTATAGCAGAATTCGCGGCGAATGGTAATACTTAACATACTTTCCGAGAGGGAAGTAAACTTGTTTCTATGGACCACTCGAAGAGCTGGATAGTTGCTGGAAACGGCGAGTTCTCGGACACTTCGCACAAGACAATACTGCAATAACTAAGGAGCACCGGCCTCAGCTTGGGGTCGAAAGGCGGCACGGGTCAGCCTCGACGGCGCGGTTGACTGGATTTGTCGTTCGTTTGATCCCGGAATGCGGAGTTTCGAGCGTGGTGAGCAAAACCCCTCTTCACGCGCTTGCATCGTCCCGCCTGCATCGTCTGCGCTCCGCCAGCTCGATTCCCTCGGCGGGACGTTTAGGCGCGGCTGCGCGCCCGTCGACGGCGAATGCCAATCAATCTTGGGGAGGCGACTATGAAACGAGATGGGTTTAGCAATTGAATGGACGCAGATCGAGTATGGGGGGGGGCGCGGCCGGGACGGGAGACGCCGGGGAGGGAAGTTGAGATGGGAGAGGGGGGGG